TTATTTTATTAAACCAAAAATAAATTAGTTCATTTTTAAACTTCAGTTAAATTATAATAAAATATTGAATTAAAAAAATTACACAAAAACAAAAACTTTTAAATAGTTAATTTGATACTGCTTATTTTTTTTCAAAATTTTATAATATCTTCAAATTTATATTTCATTAATAAATAAAAACATTTTTTTTCTCAAAACACATAAAGTCGCATTATAACATCGATATACCCAAAATATAAAACGAAATAATAAAATTAAAATGTAACTCGCTATATTGTGCAAGTACCTTTCTAATTTATACTAATTAGTCACCCATTTTTTATTTTAATTATGTTTAATATTATTCTGGGACTAAAAGTTGGTTATTATTTATGTTATTTTTTTTTAATTAGACTTAAAATTATACAGAAAAGTATAAAAACGTAATTACAATTGTGTTATAGTGGTTGAATTAAAAATTAAATAAAGTTTCATTGAAGTAGCGAATTTTGTTTTTATCGTTTTCATTTGTATGGTTTTTAATTCATTGATATTTTTTTTATTAACTTGGATATTCAATTCATTATACGAACCGATTAATCTCAGAACGACCATCTGTTTTGCAGATAGCCCGAAGTCATCGCATTTGAACTTCCGTGGCTACAAGATGATTTTTATTCCTACTTGAATTTGTACCTGAGATCTTCTGGTACTTTTGACTTTTGGAGCCAAACTCAGACCAATCATGCACCATCTTTATGGTTTAATTCTATGAAAAAGGTTAACTACTATATTTAAGTACTGAGGTAGGGATAAAAATAACAATATATTGTAAACTACAAAAAAAAATCTATAAAAAAAACAACACTAAACTATAAAGATAAAAATCATAATTTTAAAAACATAAGGGACTAAAATAATAATTTCCAACAAACTATAGGGACTAATTTAAAACATAATGGACTAACTTAATTTAATATATTAAATATGATAAAACGCAAATGGTACAATCAAGTGGTGGTATATGACTATTTATCCTCACTTTCCACAACCATACGAACAAGATTGCGTGTGTTGAAACGTATGTCAAACAGTCAACAATAATTGTGGGACCCTCCTCTTGTTTCTATATTTTATTAGAAGCGTAATCGTGCAATTTAGCGAGATATATCGTAATTTTAATATTTTATTTTATTCTTTATTTCAGTCGATGTTATAATATTGTTTTATATGATTTTGAGAAAACGATGATGTTTTTATTTTTGAATAAAATATATGTTTGAAGATATCATAAAAATTTGATAAAAATATATCGATATTAGTATCAAATTAACTATTTGAAATTCCTCATTTTTTTATGTAATTTTTTAATTCAGTGTTTTTTATAATTTAATTTATGTACAATAACGAAGTAATTTATATTTTGTTTAATAATATAATTTTTTTTATAAAGATAATAATTATTTATTTTGTTGGAACTCGATAATT